TCCAGATTGCACTTCCAAAATCACCAGGATAAGGAACAGTGAAGTCTGGTGAGTCTTGGTCCAGTATTTAAATGCTGTGACCCAGAAGTAGTACTTGTCACATCTGGCCACATCTTCTGGGCCAGAAATAGTAGAGAGGGCATCTCTTGCTTCATTGAGCATATTTTAGATTTTAGTTCACTGCACCTGAAGAAACTCCCGAGAAAGGGACTTTTAATGAATTCTGCTTTAATTCTGTGTTATCTTAGAAGATTAAGTAGACATTACATTTAAAGTCCTTGAATCATTACTGCCCTCATTTAACTTGTCAGATGAATGCACTCCTAAAACACATAGCCAGAGTGTTCCGGTGCTGTACTTTGTATTGTTAACTCTTATTTAGGGTCCAGGAATTGGCCAGGAGAAGAACCAGAAGGACAAGAGCTCATGGATCAGAGGTTCTCAACCTGTGGGTTGCGACCCCACACACACACACACACACACACACACACACACACACACAAGCCCTCCCTACCATTGAGTCAATTCTGGTTCGTAGTGACCCTATAAGGACAGAAGAACTGCCCCTGTGGGTTTCTGAGAAAGCTTCATCTTTCTCCTGCTGAATAGCTGGTGGTTTTGAACTGCTAACTATAAGGCCCACAGCCCACTATACCACTAGGGCTCCTTCCTACCTGCCCTCCCCACCCCCTGTTGCTACTGTCTTACAGAAACCTTAAAACATAAGATGTGTAGTTTCTAGCACAGAAAGTAGGGAGCCCTGGTGAACAGTGAGTTCAGCACTGGCCACAAAACTGGTGAATTAAGCCAACCAGCTGCTTGGTGAGATTACGATGAGGCTGTCTGCTCCTGTACACGTTTACAGTCTCAGAAACGCCCCAAAGCAGTTCTTCTTTGCACTCTAGCATTGTTGTGAGTTGGAATCAATTAGATGGCCGTGGGTTTGGTATCAGAAAAGGCGGCTTGGCTGCTGGCCAGAAGATTGGTGCTTTCAGTCCACCCAGAGGTAGTTTGAAAGGAAGACCTGTTCTGAAAAACGAATCATTAAAACCCCATGAAGCTGGAATGGACTCAGTGGTGTCAGAGAAGGTAAAATTCTCTTTGGAAGAGAACATTGTACAGTTTTTATTCAAATAGCATGTTTCATGAAAAGCCAGTCAATAGAATGAAATTCATATTAACATGCATTTAGCTTTCAAACTGTGCCTACTCAGCGCTGCTTATCTTGTGAAACAGACAGTGAAAGAGAAGGCGCGTTTGTTTCCACTGCTGACATTCGATTTGAGATGTTACAGTTGGACCACCAGCAGCACTTACCACTTTCTTCCCGGGCTGAGAGATGGCAGCGATACACTGGACAATTTATGCTAAATCTTCATCGTCTTTGTTTAAAAAATCAAGACAAAGAAAGATGCTCATTGTCTTGGTGTGTCTGTTGTTCTCTGGGAACAGTAAGACTATTTAAAGCTTCCCCCCAAACTAAGAAGACATTTTATTATTATTATTTTTGTAGAAAATAATTTAATGATATTTTGCATTTTTAAATTAAAAGATCATTTTATTGGGGGCTCTTATAACAATCCATACATCAACTATATCAAGCATATTTGTACATATATTGCCATCATTATTTTCTCAACATTTACTTTCTATTGAGCCCTCGGTATCAGCTCCTCTTTTATCCCTCCATTCACCCCCCACCTTTGTGACCCCTTGATAAATTACAAGTTATAATTATTTGCTATCTTACACCAATCGCTGTCTCCCTGCCCCCACGTTTCTGTTGTTCATCCCTCTGGAGAGGTGTATGTGTGATTAAGTGTGGATCATTGCTATTGATTCCCCATTTTTCCCCTCCTCCCCTACCTTCCCCCTCCCCTCCTGGTATCCATACTCCCTTTCTTGTTCCTGGATTCCATGTGTCCTGAGCACCTGTATCTGTGCACCTGTGCTCCAGTCTAGCCCTCAGTGAAAGGCAGGACTGGGGTCATGATGGTGGGGTGTGAGGAAGCCTCAAGGAACCAGTTGATATACTGCCCCTCAGTTGACTCATCCCTTCTTGTGTCCCATTGTCTACAGATGGATTTTGGGTCTCTGCTCTGACCCCCCTTGTTCTCAACAATATGGTTTTTTGTTTGTTTGTTTGTTTGTTTGGGGTCTCAAGAAGACATTTTGAAGAGCCTTAGTTTATTTCCATCAGTATTGTCTAGCTTACACTTACCATTTCTAGTATGTGGAGAAATTTTGAAAAATATTTTGAACAATGCTTTAAACTGTTACATCTCTTTGTTTTGAGCTTCCTTTAGACAATACAATAGGTTGATTCAAGTCTAAATTTGTGTAATGAGATTTGACCACTATAATTTATTTTAGAAAATTATACTTTTCTTTTGGTTCCTTTCATCACTCCACCTCTGTGACACCGGCTGGACATGCATCGGAGCTCTGGTTTATTTCGAGAGTTTAGAGAAGGAAATTTGTCTTCAAGAGTAT